CACTCAAATTGCTTATGAATTCGACATGGGGATATTCCATTAAAAAACCTCAAGAGATGAAGAGTAAACATTATGAGAAGGTCGACAACTTTGTTGAAAGGTTTTCTCCTTTTGTTTTGAAGTACGAATTCACCGAAGGTCAAAGTGGCTTAGTAACCACATTAAAACCTATTGTCGAACATTGGTGTTACCCTCAGTTCGCAAAGGCAGTCCTTGACAACTACAACAAATTCTTCTCAGAGGTCAAATCCAAAGTTGTGGTATACTATGAGAACATCGATGCACTCATGACGAACGAGGAAGGCTATAACAAACTCATTGAAATGGGAATGGTCGGTGAAAAGATGGGCCTTTTTAAGCTAGACAAGGTATTTTCCGAAGTTCATGTCCTCTCCAAGCGTAAGTACTGGGGGATACTTGAAGATGGCACAGAAATAAAACATTGCATGAAATAAAAAATTGCATGAAGTAAAAACATTTTTTAAAACAGTATATTTTTACATATATGAAATGCTTCAGGTTGAAAAACAAAGAACAAAAGTAGCAGATACAAAACCGTTAGACTATATCTTCACAAATGCCGGTAGGACTATATCAGATGAAGAAATTTCATCCGGAGCTTACAGGTTTGACTATCCAATTCGTTGGCTTCAAAGTCCTTCAGATGCAAAGGCAATAGGATTTAGAAGAGTTTTGTTTTCAAATAGAACGAACGCCTTCATGTTCGCGGTATATTTTCATGGTCAGTACAAAGGTTCTGATGGTCTAATAGAAAAATTTGACGAAATAAAAATCTTTACAATTCGTTCAGACGAAAGTCTTGAGAAAACTCTAAATGACTTCCAAACTCAAATAAACAAATACTACTGGGAATTTCAAGAAAAATACCACTCTTTACTAAATGGAACATACTATCTAAAACTAGAATATAACAAGATGAACTCCACAGTTTCATTTCAAAAGATTGAAATTAACCCTCCAAGAGATACAGAGTTTTTATATTGGGGAGTAGACAAACGCTCTTGGGCACAATTTCTTCGGTTACTAAACCAGAACGAACCATTACCACCAGATGGTCCATTTAATTTTATACTTCCACCAGCAGATTTGACAGTTTATAGAAACGTGTTTGACCCTCAAAATGTCATGTGCCATGCAAGTTTCAGTTCAAGCAACAACAGTTTTCTTTGTATCGGTAAGGACTTTTATGACTTTGCTTCTAAATTCTACGAACCACCTAGTAACAGTTTCTCTGACTTTCAAGTTTGGTTCACAACAAACGGTGTGCAGCATATTATTCCATTGTACTATGACTTTTATCTCGAATTGTCTTTCATATACAACTACGGAAAAGTGCTGAAAAAGTATTGAAAAATGAGTTTTGGTTAGATGGTTTTTTAGGTGTGCCTATGTGCCTATGTGCCTCGGTCATTTTAACTTCTTTTAAAAAGTGTGACAACACGACATTTTGACAACATCGTAGAAAACACACAAAACTCTTGAATTTTGTGCTGAAAAAGCAACCCGCGGAATTCCGCGGGTTGGTATATTCTTCACAAAATGCTTGTTTTGAGGTCGAGCCATTTTTGGCCCCACCGTAGAAAACACACAAAACTCTTGAATTCGGCAAAAATATATTTTAGGTGGAACCAGGTCACCAGGTCACCAGGTCATTTTAACTTCTTTTAAAAAGTGTGACAACACGACATTTTGACAACATCGTAGAAAACACGCAAAACTCTTGAATTTTGTATAAAAAAAGCAACCGCCGGAATTCCGGCGGTTGGTATATTCTTCACAAAATGCTTGTTTTGAGGTCGAACCACAAACGGATGTCCGACGGTTAAGCCACCCAAAAATATTTTTTATTTTTATTGTAAGAACTGAAAATGACAGTCGAAGCAAAAACGTTCACGAACAAATCTAATGGCGAAACATTCACAAAAGGCACTTACAACGGTATTGAAGTCTTACGTAGAGACAAGGATGGTTATATAAATGTAACAAATATGTGTCAGCAGTTTGGGAAAGACTTTAGAAAGTTGTTGGAAAATAAGTCCTGGGAAGAGTATTATACGGCATTTTGTGAAGAATATACCAACCGCCGGAATTCCGGCGGTTGCTTTTTATACAAAGTTCATGCAGGAATTCCTGATGAAATCAAACAGGTTAGAGGAACGTATGTAGACCCAAGACTCGTAAACTATATAGCAATGTGGGCTTCTCCAAAATATTGTATAGCAGTTGGAAAAATTCTGGACTCCATAGACAAGAAAGTTCATGAGAAATTAGATGAAGAAGAACTTGAAGATACAGTAGAGAATGCAAAACCTTTGTTCGAACAAGAAGTTAGAAAAATGCATGAAAAACAAATAGAACATGAACGTGAGATATGTTCTGGTTATAGAGATTCTCCATACGAACTAGACCAATGGGAACAAGAAGATTTAAAGAGAGAATTTAGAGAATATGAACTCGCTAAAATTTCATTAGAAGCTGCAGAAGAGAGGTTAAAAGTTTGGGGTCCTTTTGTACAAAAATATTGTGAGTAAATGAACCATTTTTTTTATTGAATTCGGCAAAAATATATTTTAGGTGAAGAAGTGAAGGTGTGCCTATGTGCCTATGTGCCTAGGTCATTTTAACTTCTCTGAAAAATCTTGACAACATGACATTTTGACAACATCGTAGAAAACACGCAAAACTCTTGAATTTTGTATAAAAAAAGCAACCGCCGGAATTCCGCGGGTTGGTATATTCTTCACAAAATGCTTGTTTTGAGGTCGAACCACTTTTGGCTCCACCTGTTTTTTCAACCAAAACTCATTTTTGTCTGATTTACGCTCATGTTTGACAAAACATTGACGATGAAATCTATTTCCTGTGTTGTTGTCAAAATGTCATGTTGTCAGTAATTTTAAGAGAAGTTCATTTGACCTAGGCACATGGGCACATGGGCACACTTCAGTTCTTCAAAACATATACGATGAAATCTATTTCCTGTGTTGTTGTCAAAATGTCATGTTGTCAGTAATTTTAAGAGAAGTTCATTTGACCTGGTGACCTGGTGACCTGGTTCCACCTAAAATATATTTTTGCTGAAAAAAATGACCAAATTTCATGATATAACTGTATTTTTTTTACGAAGTGAACTTTTGCACTTCGTCAAAAAAATGACGTTTACCATATACTACGCTTATGAAAATCGTGAAATTTTTACGAAGAGAACTTTTGCACTTCGTAAAAAAATGACGTTTACCATATACTACGCTTATGAAAATCGTGAAAAATTGCGAGTGGGAGAAAAACCCTGGTCGCCAAAACTCTATGAAAACAGTGAAAAAACTCTATGAAATCATGAATTTCCTCAAGATAGAAAAATAAAAAAATAACGCTAGTTTTTTTAAAATATTTTTTTTTATTTTGTATGTAAGAACAGGAAATGACAAACACAGAGTTTGAAACAGTTAAAAAGATAGACAATGAGACCAAAGTGGTTAGAATAGGTGATTTAAACGTAAGATACTCAAAGAAATACAACAAATATTCTTTGTCAGACATTTTAACACTATCTGAAAAGAAAACATCCCACGACTGGGTTAGAAATGCTTCTACTCAGAAAATTTTGACAAAAAATCCTGAGCTTATGATATCGGTAAGATTCTATGGAACAAGAACATATCTTATAGACAAAAGTCTTATACCAATAGTTTTGTTCTGGATTGACCCAGTTGTTGGATATAATTTCATAACATATGGTTCATTCGATACTGAACGTTGCAGTGAAGGCTTACTTTACATCGTTCAGAAACCGAAGGACTTCAATACAAAGAGATATAAGATAGGAAGAACATTTAATATAACTCAAAGATATGACAGTATAGTCAATAGAGTTAAGGTTGCGTTCGTTAACGATATGAGAGCTGCTGAAACAGAACTACTTGAAAAGTTTGAGAAAATGTATGGTGCTCCCACGAAAGGTAAAGAAACGTTTGAAGTAGATGAGATAGCTAAAGCTATAAAATTATTTGACGAAGTTGCTGAAAAATACATGTAAAGCGTTTATTTTTGGTCTTTTATACAAGATAGAAAATAACGCTAGTTTTTTATAAAATATTTTTTTTATTTTGTATGTAAAGACAGATATGTCAACATCAGAGAACACAACAACTGCTATCGTTCATGAAGATATAAATGAAGAATATGAGTGGGTTCAGTATAACAAACAGTTACGTCTCATTCGTTCGGTCAAAGATGACATGTACCAAATGCAAAGTATTTTCAATGCTCTTCGTTCTACAAAGCAAGCACATCATTGGTTTGAAAACCAACAGACAAAAGAACTTTTAGAAGAATTTCCTCATATGTTTGCGACCCGCGGAAAACCGCGGGTCGAGATTCCGTACGAAAATCGTCAAAATTTGCCAAATGGTTTGAGAGGTTGGTATGTACATAGACTTTTAGTAAATGCTGTTGCAATGTGGGCTTCACCTCGTTACGCTTGTTATATTTTCATGATGTTAGATGAAATTCATAGACAAGAACGTGAAGAGCTAGAGAACAAGCTTGAAGCAAAAGACAAAAACATACAGAAAAGAATACCACGTTCGGTACCAAAAGGAAAGGAAAAGAACTATAAGTATATGATTTACACTGAAGAGATGGAAAATGAAGAAGACAGAGATATGGTTATGTTGCATTTAGTCAGAAGAAACAACAAAAGCTTTTACGACCTTGCTAAGATTTACAAATCTGACAGAAATTGGTTCTATCGCGAAAACTTACCGATTTCAATGACACCGAATGAAGATGTTAAACAGATAGTTCAAGATACGTTACCTCAAACACACTATGATATGAAAGGTTGTACAATACTTACATTCAAAGAAGATTTACCGCTACTGAAAGAAAAAATAACAGAGTATTTTGACAACTTCAAACAAGCAGAGTAGATGAACCATTTATTTTTCAAGCTTGACACCAAAGATGGCTCAGGTAGCTCAATGAGGTAAATTGTCTTGTCCGAGTCCTTCTGGCATTCCGAGTCCTTCTGGCATTCCGAGTCCTTCTGGCATTCCGAGTCCTTCTGGCATTCCGAGTCCTTCTGGCATTCCGAGTCCTTCTGGCATTCCGAGTCCTTCTGGCATTCCGAGTCCTTCTGGCATTCCGAGTCCTTCCTTCCGACAGGAAAAGTTTTTCTTTCCGACAGGAAAAGTTTTTCTTTCCAACAGGAAAAGTTTTTCCTTCCAACAGGAAAAGTTTTTCCTTCCAACAGGAAAAGTTTTTCCTTCCAACAGGAAAAGTTTTTCCTTCCAACAGGAAAAGTTTTTCCTTCCAACAGGAAAAATTTTTCTTTCCAACAGGAAAAATTTTTCCAGTTGTCCGTCCGTAAACCATTCAAATTTTCGAAAATTGAGAACTTTTTGGCCGACCTTCAGGAAAAATTTTTCCTTCCAACAGGAAAAGTTTTTCCTTCCAACAGGAAAAGTTTTTCCTTCCAACAGGAAAAGTTTTTCCTTCCAACAGGAAAAGTTTTTCCTTCCAACAGGAAAAGTTCTTCCTTCCGACAGGAAAAGTTCTTCCTTCCGACAGGACACAAACGAATGTCCGACGTACCACCAACCGAGTCCATTCCAAAGCCAGAAGAACCGACAGCCCCAGCACCACAACAGACTAAGACCAAACACTTACATTTTTTACGCTTGACTTTTTACAATTTGAACTTTGTTCGCGTAGATATGAATTCTGAAAGAAGTATGAGGGTCTTGTATGACTTTGTACTTCTCCCATAGTTCATGTCTGTCAAACTTACCTGCCATGGACTCTTTCATAAGTTCCATGAAATCGTCTTCGGACAATCCGGGGAAAAGTATAATGTCAGTAAGTATTCTTTTAACATCCTTACTTAAACTCTTGGCTGTCTGTACACAAATGACAACAGAGATGTTAAAGTGTCTGAGCTTCTTAAGAATTCGACACATGTCTTGTTCTCTATTCTTTAACAAAGGATGAGAAGCAAAGTCATCTAAGATAAGAAGACATCTGTGAGGGTAAGTCTTCCAATCGTAAGATTGCAATTTCTTCGAAAGGTACTCAATCTCTTTCTGTTTGTTTCTGAAGTGTTTCTTCTCTAATATTCTCTGCATTTCCTCATTTGGGTCTTTAAACTTCGAATTGACATACTCATTTATAGCATTGTACTTCAAAACTCTTCTTTGGTACTTCTTTATCCAATCTAACAACTCAGAGTCTTTTATACATACTAGTTTTGACTTCTTTATAATATCTTTGAACGAATTTACGGTTTGGTCAAATTGACCAGAAGTCGAACAAATGACTACTAACTCATAGAATGGGTTCTTCTCATCTAGTTCTTGTTGTTGTGCAGCCATTTTAAGATAAGTGAAAGTCTTACCCGACCCAGGTGGTGCAATTAGACCTGTTATACCATTCTGAGCAAATAAGAACTTGTCATGTATGGGTTTTATCTGAGCATTTTCCAACTTCCTCTTGTTCTTATTTAAAACATTCTCAAATTTTTTGTCAATGTCAGCAAACTTTTTTTCTAACATATTTTTAGAAAAATTAAAATTTTTATCTTTTAGAAAATGTCTAGCGATTTCGCTATCTATATTCGAGACAAGCTTTTCGACAGCAAAACATCTGTAGACCATAAAATCTTACATAGTGTAAACAAGAAAGGTGAATTTGTTCTAAAGTTCTGTTTCTGGGAATATGACAAGAACCATAAAACATTAAGCAGAGCAGTCTTAAAATTTGTCAATGACAGACTTGTTGACAGAGATGACGCCTCTTGGAGAGATGAAGTCCAACAAAACTTCTTAGAATGCAAAGAAGACACATGCGCTGTTCTTGAAGATGAAATAGAAAACAGAATAGAAGAGCTATTAAAGGACAAAGAACTTTTACAAAAATATGGTTCGGAGAAATTTGACATAACTCCACCAGAGAAGAAGAAGAGAGAAAAGAAAGAAAAGAAAGTAGAAGAAGAGAAGAAAGAACCAGAGCCAATTCCACCGAAGAAAAAATTTGACATGTAAAAATAAAATTTTATTTTTAGAACATTTCTGGGTCAATGTCAATGTTCTCTTCCTCTTTAGGAGTAAACACTGGCTTAGACTCTAAAATCTTTTTACCCAATTTACCTTGAACTTCTACAACTTTAGACTCATAATATTCATAGTCGTCTGCTTTCTTTGGTTCATAAGGTATAACAAGTTTGTATGCTTTGCCTTCTTTAAGGTTTGAAAACCTTCTGTCAAAACTTTCTTTGACTGTTAACAAACCTTCTATGTCTAAGTCTTCAAATTTCGCACCATTTTTAGTCACAATAGCAAACTTAACTGGTTCGATGTTCCAAACTTTGTCATATGTAGACTTTTCAAAATGGTAGAAGTAAACATTCAAATATGTGAATGGGTCTAGTTCTTCTTTAAGTCCTGACATGTACTTGTTTACTGAAATATATTTCGTCATCTTTTCTATCGGATAAAAAAATATATTTTTTTAAAATTTACTCAGAAAAATTTTTCTTTGTATATACACCATTCTGTACGTCTAAAAGACTTTTGACATTTGCCAAGAATGTTCGTTTAGACGCTGTCATATAACCATACTCTTGACAATACTGTTTATACGAATCGTACAATGACCTTTCATCTAAACACTCAAAGTCAGTTTCATCTATGAACAGTTCATATACACTCTTGTTTGCTTCTAACAATGTTTGTCTCTCTTCGGTATGTGGAATTTGTCTTGGATTGAACTTAGAAATATCTAATGTCATGAAATATGAGAACAAGTGGTTGTAAAAGTCAGATGTCAAAGTTTCTGCTAAGTCGTCAAAATATTCTGTATCTTGCATATGAGAATCTGACGTTCTGACAACTACATATCTTCTGTCAGAACTTTCGAACTTCATCGGAACAGCGTTGTTTGAAACCATGACGAAGTTTGCAACATTTTCACAAACTCTTTGGTCTTTATATTTTCTTTCAACAACTCCAACTTTGTCTGTTATAAGACTCTTCAAAGCATCTGAGTTCAAAACTTTTGTTGTATCTATACTTTGAAGTTCGTTACATACTATAAGTTTCATATTCTCTATTGAAGAGTTAAATTTACCGCAGATGTTTTCTAAGTTTGTCATATTCGGATTCGAATAGCCCTCTAACAGTTTGCACAAAATATCTGTAAAGAATGTGTTCTTACCAGTTCCTTGTTTTCCAATTATAATGAGAGCAGTTTCATTTTTAGCACTTGGATGTTGTAAGATGTTTGCAAACCAACATAAGATATACTCATAGACTCTTTCGTTTCCATTGCATATAATTTCTTTGACATGGTCTAACCAAGCTTCTATAACATTTTCTTTCCATTCTACTTGTTCGTATTTATATCCAGTGAAGATAGAATAGAAGTTTGGAGATGGTGTATAGAACTTTATACCACGAACTGAAAAATCTTCTAACTTTGACAATAAGATATCCCAAGCATCTAACATCTTCATACCAACTTGTACGACTTTTATTTTCTTAAGTTTCTGTCTACATTCTTGTTCTGAAACTATTGTTGCTCTTGGTTTGTTAAAGACTACATCCCATTCTTTCATAACATAACATTCTGGGGCAGAGTCGACATAAATGACTAAACGTTTCAAATTCTCGACTGCTTTGTTATAGTCTCTAAATGGACACATATTTCTGAAGGCTTGGAAGTCATAAAAATCTGAAACATCTATTCTGTACATTTTTATAAAAATAAAAAAAAATATTTTTTTTATTCTTGAGCTATTTGTTGCATTTGTTCCATTTGTTGCATTTGTTGTTCTTGAGCTATTTGTTGTTGAAGTTGTTCTTGTAGTACAATACTTTCACCAGTTGCATCTTCCAATTCGAAACTTTCTGCCGTCATTGACAAATACATAGGACATAAAAGTTTTACAGGAACAAAGTTTGCGTCGACTAAGGTTAAGTTTATGTTTGCTAAAGTGTTTGAGTTTACTAAAGCTGAAAACTCTGCATTCGAATGAACAATAGGCAAACCAGCAGAGAATGTGTTGTTTATACGCATGAGTATCTTTTGGTCATAGTAGTTTCTGTCGACATTCGAATAGCACTTTGAACCTAAGTTTGAAACAATATATAAAATAGGTGTGCTTAAAGTCAATGGAATAGATAGACCTTGTATGACACCTTTTCCTGTTATAGGAAACTGTTGGTAGTAAAAACCAGATATAAGTTTTGTATTATAGCTCATATCGTTTATACTAAACTCAGTCGGACATCCAAACATAATGAAACCTGCTCTAGTTGCAGCACATGTTACATCCGTCCTTAAAGTATTAAATAAGTCAACAAAACCTGTTGGTGGTATATCTGAGTAAGTATCTTCAAAGAAGTATTTTTTACCATTCACAACAACAAAGTCTTCTGGTGTCAAAAGAGCAAAACAGGCTTTAGTCGTCATTGTGTTTAAGGTTAGTTTACAATATCGTCCTTGAGGACTTTGTAAGTTTGTTGTTATAGAATTATATGACTCAGGGTTTTTAGTCGTAATAGTATAAACCACTATGTCTTCTGCCATTTACATATATTTAAAAGTTTTTCTGAAAGTGGAGAAGAACTTCATCTAAACTTTCACATGGCGTTTCTTGAAGTTCTCTGTCTAAGAAGTTCAAATATTTTGTAAAGACATAGAACTTTCCTTTGTCTACACGAACAAACAAAACAGGGTCTTTCATATCGTTCAAAAGTGTGTAAAGTCCTTTACATGAAATAAAGTCTATATTATTTTTCTTCAAACATCTTTCAAGAAGTTTTGACATTTTTACTTAGCAACTAAATTTTAATGAAATGTTGTGGTCGTCAAATATTTTTATGACGTCTGGGAAACTATATTTTAAGTTCAACGTTTCACCTCCTTTCATAACGTATATCTTGTCAATGACATTATATGAAACACCACAGCAAGCAATGTCGGGTTCTATTTCTTTGATGTTTATATCGTCTGCCTCTGTCAAAAGTTTCAATAGTTCTTTCAAAACTTCATGAGGTGCAATGACATATGAGTTCACTTTTACAGGGTTGTGTTCGACCAAGTTTAACATTATACCTAAAGCTTGACAAATCTTCTCCTGAGTTTT